CCCAGGGACTCCTCCTCCTCGGACGCCGGCCATGCCTCATACCTCTCACGTATTTGCCAACCCCTACGAGGCCTACCCTCCCAACGACCTCATCTACCCCAACGAACGGGTCAGCTCCTCCCACCCTCGGCTGCGCTACCTCGTCTACCGCTGGGTCCGCCTGGCCGACACCCTCGGGTGGCGCTACGTGGCCGTCGCCGGCACCCTGCTGGCCGCGCTTCGCAATGGGCGCATCATCCCGTGGGACTCCGACCTCGACGTCGCCATCGACCGCGAGACGGGCGAAAAGATACGAGACCTCGCGGCTGGGCACCTTGACCCTCAGGCCAGCGGTGGGCAGCTGTGGTCCTCCCTCGATGGCGTCTCGATCGAGTGGAACACGGCGGTGGCGCACCATCAGCCCTGGCGCGACGGCGAGGTCCGCCTGATAGTCAATCAGCACCGGGCTATGGACCTCCCCGGCGACGGTCTTCGCTACAACCTCACCGGCGATGTCGTGCCCTCGCAGGAGGACTCGGTCTCGTTCGTGGGTCCGTTCGCCCGGCTGGTCACCTACATCGACGGGCACACCGCGCACATGGACGTGTTCTGCGTGGAAGAGTTCGCGGGCCGGTACGGCACCGACGCGACCGAGGTGGGACCGCAGCGGGCAAGTTTCCCCCGGAAGATCGTGCCGTGCCCTCTGGAGGGACAAATGATGTGGTGCCCCTCGGCGGAGGACTACGAACCGATGCTGCAGCACGCCTACGGGAAAGACTACATGGCGCCGAGCCAGTGAGCGAATAAGTACAGAAAATAAAAGCAAAAACTACAACCAACCATCAGCACATGTATCACCACAATATTTATCCTCGTATCGAGCATGCCCAAACGGAAAAGTAAGCTCTTCTTTTTATTCATCTGCGACGTCCGTCCGCACGAGCAGAGCGCCTTGCGGTTGCGAGCGAAGCTGCCGCTCACCGCCTCCTCCTGCGTGCACTCCGTGCCCCTAGGACTGACCTGGCATGCACTGCTCGGGCGATAGAGCCACATGCCCGCCAGTGCAGAATAGATGGTAGTCCACGCAAATAAAGGAACAAGAGTGCCGCCCCTGAGGGGCAAAGGCGAGGAAGACATTGTGGGAGCCGGCGAAGAAGGGGGAGTCTTGGCAGCCAGTGCAGCAACAAGCTTCATGCGGGGTATCCGCCGCACTGGGAACACCAATAATAAGGGTTACAATTGGCTTGTCAATATGAGAAGAAAGGTGTCGTTTGTTACCAGAGGGTTACTGCCAGGCATGTAAGGACAGCTACGGCCAGCAGAATAGCAAACGGCTTGTTCATCGTCGTGGTGGTGTTTAAGTTGTAGTTGATCTTGTTGTTGTTGCTGTTGTGGTGCTGGAAAAGCCGTTCTGGCTCGACTCTTTTATACCTGGTATGGTGGCCTCTGTGGTTGGTTTTTCTCGTGCTTTGGTTGCTGTTTGTGCCATCAATAAAGCGTGTTCTGACGCACAATTGCCGTACCATGGCAACAAATGTGAAAAAATAGACCCAGCTTTAGTTACCCGTCTACGGCGATTAGGCTCTTGTGATGCCGATGATGAGGCTTCTCAGTTTCGTGGGGATCGCTCCAGTCCCAGCCGTGGTAAAGTCGTCTGGCCATTTGCTGGCGATGGGTTCCGGCAGGCAGTTGCGTATCAGCTGGCCTCCGGCCTTGTGAGGCTTGTCCAGCCGGACGGTGAAGTCGTACAAATCGTCGGCTCGGTTCTCCGTGTCGGGCCGCCCAAACGGCAGCTCGGAGCGCAGCAGGGCGTTGATCACAAAGTGCCCGTCGTTTTGATGTTGTAGTAGTGCATGGACCCAACCTCGTCCATGAGTTCGACCAGACGCTTGAAGTCGGACTTCTGGGAAGCCAGGCGCTCGTAAAAGTTGCAGTAGAACTGGCGGGAGTCGACGTAGCTGAGGCGGCGCTCCTGTCCGTCGCGATTCGATCCACACAAAGTAGGCCGGGATGTTGATGGTGATGCCCGTTGTTCCGTGGTACTTGTGGCGGTGGGGCACCGGGTCCGCGTAGAATCGCAACCGGTTGGCGACATAGAGTTGGCCTGGGTTGCCCTCGGTGTAGAGCTCTTCGGGGAAAACCTTGCTGTCCTGGTGGAAGTTCTCGATGTTGAGCGCCGGCGGGAGGCCGGGCTGGCCGTGGTCGACTGGCCTGAGAGACATGGGCGACAGCTGAGCGCAGCTGAAGCCATTGGCCTTGTTCTGATGCCTGAAGTTGGGGTAAACGTGACGGAAGCCAGGCACTGGGGCGGGATCGCGCATCATGAGCAACTTGGTGAGGATGACCTCGCCCCGACGGCCAGCCGCGGCGTTGGCCGCCCGATACTCCTTGACGATGATGGACTTGGCTTCAAGTCACATCAACAGCAGGCTTCACTTCTCGTCGGCTGACATGTGTGCTTGCCATGCGCTTGGCGTGGACCCCACACAGGTACCGCCAGCAGTGATCTTTGTTCCTGCTGGGGACTGCATAATAGGCCCTGTTGATGCAGGCCTTCTTCTCGTTCTGGCAGGCCGTTTTGCCA